AACCTCGTCCTATATACTTTATTGTATGTAAACATGATATGAGATACTTTTGTAACAAATCGCCCCCCATATTCCGTCTCATTAAAGATCGAGTGAGGAACAGTTCCATGTTTCCTTGAGCCGAGAGCGCTTGCCAAGTTTGTGAGAACTATTGTCGAAACACGCTATTAGTGCAGAAATATTGACATAATACTTATATTGTACATCTATAGAAATAAAGTAGTAAAAGATTGTATATAATTTAATCTATACATATGTATAATAAAATTGTAACTAAGCCGAATCTGTACATTAAATATTTTTTGGAAAATCTTATTGAAATAAACATTATTATCGAAAAAGAGGCCGAATCTATAGTTTTTAGATTTCTTCTCTGTCTGTCTGTCTGTTTGTTACCGCATCACAGATAAACCACTGGAGGGAAATTTGGTATGGTGATAGCTGATTATCTGGGTCAACATATAGGATACTTTTTACAGCGGGAAAATATCTCATTTCTGAGAAATCTATACTAAACGTTAAATCGTAAATGGGGACGAAACCGAGCGGAGCGAGGGTGAGTCGCTAGTAATTATATACAATCTTAATATCAATATTCGCTAGTGCGAGTGACAGTTAAGTTTTATCGATAAGTTAAAATGGCATTTGACCTGATTATCTGAATATTCTTTTAAAACAAAATTATTTAACTAAAATTATATTTTAAAACGTACGTACCATCACATCGAGTAATTGACATAAATATCAATATTTGCACGTTTGTGCGCTCGAGTGTGCTCGAGATAAGTCCAATTTAGTGGTATTCCATGTTTATTGACGTTGGCCAGACGAAGCTTTTAAATTGCATACAATCTTAACGCATTTTCCTTTTAGTCGTATTAATATATTTTTTAAATCTTGCTTACAGTACATAATCTACACTAATATTATAAAGAGGAAAGATTTGTACTTTTGTATGTTTGTAACGAATAAACTTAAAAAGTACTAGACCTATTTAAATTAAATTTGGTAAGAAAGTAGTTTTGAGACCCTGGGATGGACATGAGATTTTTTATTCCGGAAATCATTCCTAAAGGTGGGGATGAAAGTTTTTATTAGGAATCAATCCAGGGACGAACCCGAGCGAAGCGAATGTAAGTCGCTAGTATCTATATATATATCTACTAGTAAATAAGCAAAGACAAAACAGTTTAGTATCTCTTTCTCCTCTGTTTGTTAACCGGTTTTCGGTTTTTTTGTAATAGCTATTGACGAGCTCTAGTGTTATCGATAAAAATTATTGTTTTTTTTTATATAGACGGATAAAATCTGTTTAGGTATAGAATAATTTCGACTACTGGGCGAACACTAAAATATGATATATGCGAATCAATATACATACATATAAGGCTAGGATAAAAAGTAATATGTGTCCATTAAACTCACTAGATAATAATTCTATAATCATCAAGATAACGTAATCTAACGATAACTTGTTTATTTTCACGACAAATATATATATATTATTTACGAAATGTCTCTAGATAGAGCAGTTTCTCAACTGTGTAAGCTTATTAAATATGTATAAGAAATCTAATCAAAGACTAGAATCAATATTATTTACATAACTACCTCTAAAAAGCTGCTTTTGTAGTAAAAAATTGAAAAAAGGTAAAATTAAAAAACAAATTCATAAATCTATTGAATTTATGCAGAAGTTCAATAGATGTATGATTTACCAGAATGAATTAAAATAACATATTATTCTCTAAACAAAGTGTAAAGAAGAAGATTCTTGATATGACAATTTAGTATAGTTTTGTATATTATATGTAATATTATTTTTTTGTGTCGATTATAGTTGAAAATTTTGAATAGAGACAGATTATTTACGAGATAAACAATTAGTTTTATCAAATTATCTATCAAATAAGCAAAACCGCAAGCAAATATCAGTGTATTATATAACAAAAAAACATCAAAATTTGAATACATATTTCTAAAAAAAACTCAAGAAAGTAAAATCCAATCTAAATGTTAGAAGCAAAACTCTAAATATCAAGTCATTGAACATCGAAAGTTTGAACGATGTCAAGTTTACTTCCGGATCCAAGTCGCTTAGAGCCTTCAGTGACATGGCGATTTATTACTTTCTAGTCAAACGCAAACTGCTATATGATAAAGAAATATATTTTGAGTTGGATTTTAACGATTTCAATAATTGTATAACGTTTTACTTTTATTAAAAACAAGCGACTTAACGTCGCCTCGCTTGATACGGTACGTCCCTAGGTGCCTAATCTATACATATAATAAAATTCAAACTAAGTCAAATATGTACATTAATATTTTTTGGAAAATCTTATTGAAATAGACATTATTATCGATACAGAAGCCGAATCTATAGTTTTTAGAATTTTTGTCTGTCTGTCTGTTACCGCATCACGGAAAAAACACTGGAGGGATTTTCATGAAATTTGGTATGATGACAGCTGGTTACCCGGATCAACATATTGGATACTTTTTATCGCGGGAAAATATCTCATTTCTGAGAAAAAAATACAAAAACTGCGTTGTAAGAGTATACTAATATGTAAAACCTAAAAATTTGGTTTTTGTTCATCTGAACGCGGGCGGAGTCGCGGGCAATGCTAGTAGTCCTATATACATCGATCAAAAAAGTACTAGATACACAATACCATGCAAAAGTTCTCTTAAAACTGTCACTGTGTTTAGGTAATTATTCTATTTGAAATAAATATTATACAACAATGTAAACTTAAATGCAATGCTTAAAGTTGTTTCCACAAAAAAAAAGAAAATTAAAAGCGCGCTTAAATATTAAAATGAACGCTCATTACGTGAGGACTTTTTTTGTCGCTGATTGTGTATCTAGTATTTTTTTTTATTCGATGCCTATATGTTATAGCACGCAATAGTCTATCTGCGTGCTAAATTTCATTCTAATCTGTCCAGCCTTTATAGCGTCAAGGATTAACAATTTTTAACATGCTTTTATTATTAGCTTCACTTGTACCTAAGTAAGTTTGTAAGAAAATCTTGGAAGTCGATTTTAATATGTTATTAATTGTCGTATCGAAATGACACTTTGTACTATTATTTGAAATGAAATAAGCGTTATTCAAGTAGGCTTATTACAAGCACTTTAGAATTGTCAATTTAATTTAAGCGTCAGTGTAGCTACCACCGGCTCGGAAAGCAGTTCTGCTGAAGAACCGGCAAAAAACTCAACAGTTGCCCTTTTATATATCAAAGTTACATTTATTTTATATTTTGTGGAATCTTATTAGGTACCTATATATGCGTATTTGGTATCTTGGAGTTGGACAGTGGAGGAGTGGACAGTAAAACTCTTCATCGGTACTTAGTTAATTATAAGTTTGGGCCAATTTTATTTGTTTTAACGAGGTGCTTATATTACAGTTGGTCAAATGCGCATTTTTTAATTTTTAAAGCAATTTATATTTACAACTATAATTGTCTATATTAAAAGTTATTTATCATGTTAAAATTAAAAAAATGTTAAATATTTTTAATAACCTATATAAAAATTATAAGTCATTTTTTCTCACATAAGGATCATGATGAAAGTATTGTGTATTTAAGTATAATTTTTAAACATATATATTAGTATATTGTATATCTATATAAATAAAAATGAATCACCGAAATGTATGTACGCACATAACTTCCTATCGACTGCACCAAATTGAATAATTCTTCTTTTTGTGTTTGCTATTGTCAGGTTTGTATAGAAGAAAATTAATGCTATTCTTATGATAAACTATTCATACAAGAATAAAAAGTATAGAAATATCTTTCTTACAAACAAAAAAATGTATATTATTTTTTCAAATAGATATTTTTGTATAATCAATATTATTTTTTACCATTATTTTTTATGTTAAAATAAACTATTTAAAGGTTTTTCAACGACTGATCAGTTCAGATTAATTACAAAATATGTTATAACTAACGCCATCTATGTAAAGCATGTTAAACTAAAATAAAGTACTTTGTGGTTTACGAAATATACTATAGATGTCGCACTTAGGTACTATTAAAATTAAGTTTTGTTACAATTATAGTCTATAGTCCCCAACGGATTTTTGAAGTTATACTTCTTTTGGCACGTTTAGAAAAAAATATGAGAGTAAAATTTTTACGATGCGCGCGCACACCAACAGCCAATAAGCGACATGATGAAGTTAGCTGAAAGCGACATGATGAAATTAGCCGCATTCCTTTTACAAACAAAGAGTTGTGACATACGGGATGTAATCATTAGCTATTTTAGTTCTGTTACGCCAAAGAAGTATAACTTCTCATGTGTGTACATAAGTACACAGATGACAGACGTTTTTTTAAAGATTAATAACAAGCTAAAACTTCGCGAGTAGCTTCATTTTGGCAAATATTCTTTCTACGAGACTTTAATAGTGGTAGATACAATTGTTGCTTCATACGAAACATGTCAAAACAACGACAGTCTAAAATCTATTACTAACAGGTAGTTTTACGATTTAATCTTGAGATAATTCAACATTAAATTAGCAAAAAATCTTGTCCTACATAACAGATGGTTTGGATCAAATAGTCCCCCTCTACGAACTTAATTTATTAATAACTATTATATATTTATATATATATATATATATATATATATATATATATATATATAATTAAAAATATGCATATTTGAATGATCAAATCGTCCTACAAATAAAATGGTAGGATTTCTCAGTCCTACGCTCAGACTTTGTGGCTCCCACGGTGATACTTTTTTCATTAATAACGAGATTTCTCATTTTATTTCTTAAATACGACATTACAATGAGCTTACTTACTTCAGACATACGGGTTTTTCCTCACGATGTTTTCCTTCAACATTATATGTAACAAATAATATATAACTTTTTAAATTTTGGGACGAAAACGTGTGAATTCGTGAGTGGCTATATAGTATATACCTTATTCCCCAATAATATAGTTAAACTTACCCGATGTGAGGCAACGTGCGGGATCCCGTGCGCCGGTCTCTCGTCGCTCGACTCGTCCGACCTCTCTCCTGTGAAGACAGAGTCGTGGGAAACTGACAGTCCACTGCCGTATGCGCCTTCTCTGTTCAGAACATACGAACATGTTATCAAACGTAATTTTTAATATTTATATTATACTCGCGACTCACCCTCACTTCGCTCGGGTTCATCTATAGCTTGATTCCCCATACAAATTTTCATCCCCATTTTCACCCTCTTATGGGATGATTTCCGGGATAAAAAGTATCGTATGTCCTTCCCAGGGTCTCAAACTATCTTCTTACCAAATTTCATCTAAATCGGTTCAGTAGATCCAGAGATTACCCCCTACAACGTCACAAACTCACAATCACTCTTTAAAAAAATAGTGTAGACTAGGTGCCTAGATACCAACTAGCAAGTTTAACTAACGATTTGGTCAGTCGCTGGAGCCCAGATGCGGATGGTAGAAGACTGGTTGTTGTGGAAATCTTTGGGGAAGACATCAGTCCAGCAGTGGTCGTGTTTGGGCTGAGACGACCTCGACGACAACTAGGTACCTAACAGAAGCCTATGTGTTACTCCAGGTCATAGTTTGTGTGTACTAAATTTCATCTAAATCCATCGAGCCGTTTGACAAAAAGGATTAGGTACATACAAATTACAAACAAACTTTCGCATTTACCTACTTTTACTTTTATTGTTTATATTATATAGTCATCTCGTCGGAATTCTCTAATCGTCAGTAAAGGTCACGTTGAATTCGGTAAGCCGATTCGATGAATTCGATTTGATTTTGATGAAATTCCTTAGTATCGAGCAAATAGCTATGAGTACTCGTACAATATAGGGTGGCTATTTTCTAAAAACCTACAGATGATAATTTTAATTGCTAACTTCTTCTGAGGGAATATTACTTATATTCTAATATATATAATATATATTTTCAAGAAGACCAAATAGGGATTTAAAATTTAAATTCAATACAAACTTATAATTCACTAGCGGATCACCCTCTGTAATCGTACATTTTTCCGGGATAAAAAGTAGCTTATGTGCTATTCCAGACCATAATCTATCTCTGTCTTTCATCTAGATCTCTTCAGCCGTTCTGGCGTGATTGAGTAACAAACATCCAAACATCCATCTAAACTTTCACATTTATAATATTAGTAAGATATAGACTTTTACCAGAACTTACAAACCGTTTTTTTTATTTTTACATTTACACTGTATCTCTCAATAGTTTTAAGTAAACTTAACAAAAAAGCTTATACACATTGCTCGAACCCTTTACATTTTTAGAAGTTTTATTACAAAAAATCCTCCCTTTTAAATGTGAAACAGATATATGTACTAACTTTCTTCTAGTATGGCGCTCAGTATCCAGCAGTTCACTGGTGGAACTACTCTTGGGATCGGGAGAGTTGTCAGTGCGCGCGCGCCGCTTGAACATGCGCCGTAACCCGCGCAGAAACCGACCTGTGCGCCCTTCGCCTGAAAATTGTAGAGAAAGAAATAACATAATGTAGTAAAAACATATTTTTCATAATAAATGACAAATACATAAAAAAATATGTTGAGATATTTTAGTTTAAGTTTTGTAATGATATAAATATAATAATAATAATTATTATTATTTTAATTCAAGATATTACATCCATATTTGTTAATAATAAAACAATTTAGCCCTAAATACTATACCTATTAGTGTATGAAAATTAATTTATTTTTATATTTTATATTGAGTTAATTATAATAAATATCCTAACTTAAAATTCAAATAATTTAATACATTATTAATATGTAGTTCGATTCATTTAGTAAACTTTTTTTTATTTTTTACCTTTTGACAACAAAATTGTCTCGTGGTTTACATAAGACATTTACCTAGAAAATTTTAGAAATATAGTCCAATAGTCTCTGACGGACAGACAGACAGACAAAATTATAAGGGTTTCGTTTCTGCCTTATGGCTACTGAACCTAAAACATAAAATATTCGTATACTATTAAATCATATACCTATATAGGCACGGATATTGCAGGTTCGATCCCGTCTGTTACAAAATACTGACCATGAGTACTGTTTTCGGTGTGCGGCGGTCGGTAGGGCGGCTCGAGGGAGCCCTCGCGCACGCACGACATTAGCCCCGCGCCGCCGCCTCCCCCCGACATCCGCACTGCCTGGAAAATATACATAAAAAATATATGTTGATGTAATAAGTATATTATTTTTTTCTATTTACAAAAAGCTAATTGTTGACTACATATGTACATAAAGTTCGACTTTATGTATTAATTAAATATATAAAATAAAAGTAGCCTAAGTTACTCATCAGCTATTTGCCAGTGAAAGTCCCCTCAAAATCAGTCCAGCCGTTTCGGAGATTAGCCGGAACAAACAGACAGACAGACAAAAAAAAATTGTGTGTTTTTTTTTATTAGTATCTTTCATATGCATTTAATAAAACGCTGTTATTCTGACATTACAAACAAACACTTCAATTTTATTTACCTGTACAGATTTAGTCTGGACTTATACTCAGTTGGAATTTATGTATAATAAGTATATGTTTGTTAGTCGTTCACATTGAAATGGCTGGTCAGAATGGGATGAAATTTATTACCTAGTTAGACACTTAGGGATGCGCTCGAGCGTAACGAGGGTCAGTTAAGCCCTAGTCATTGGTCCCCCCCAACGTGCGTTCACCTTGTCGTGGTGGAGGGGCTCAGTAGTGCCCGGCAACCCAACCGGGCGCGAAGCCAAGAAACGCACAGGGAGGTGGCCCACTTCGGTGGGCGGTGGGAGGTGGCCCTCTTCGGAGGGCAGTATACCATGCGGGTTGCTCCTGGTACTTCTCTGATAGCAGAGTGGACTGTGGAGCAACCCCGTGGTTGTTGTGGTCTGCTTCGGCAGACCTGCCGTCGGGGCGTCGTAGTTGAATGCGTAAGCGATCCTGCGACGCCCCATTAAGACGGGGGAAGGTTTCGTTGGGTTTTAGTGGGTAGTACTGGCTTTATTACGCCGGTGAGTCCCATACCTCGTGCGTAAATGCATTTCCCAACATTAAAAAAAAAAGCCCTAGTCATTGGTAGTATATTTCTCAAATTTAGATTAAGAAAACGTATCATTTTCTTTCATCTTATAATAGTAATAGTAATATAATATAATACCTTATAATTAATGTAATATATTATCATAATAACGAAATAAAGGTTTTTGTTGTTATTTTACTATCACTACATATTATTAAACAAAGTCCTCCGCCGCGTCTATCTGTCTGTCTGTTAGCGATAAACTCAAAAACTACTACACCGATTTTCATGCTGTTTTCACTAATGGATAGAGTGGTTCTCGAGGAAGGTTTTAGGGTATAATTTGTTAAGTTTTTGTATACATTGGCTAAAATATTATTTTATTATTATATATTGCTATTTATATATTGCTAAAATAATATTATTATATATTTGGCTAATATTTGTTGGAGGTGTCGGAAAAAATAAGCCGTCTGGGAGCTTTCAACGATAATGCTGCCTAAACGCAACTAAGTAGATTTGTTTTTGTTTTTCAGTGAGAAGGGGTCGACTATCTATTTCATACTAACCGCTAAAACGTACCTAGGGACGAACCCGAGCGAAGCGAAGTTGAGTCGCTAGTTTTATATAAATGAAAAATAATGTATCCAGGAAGTTTAATTTTCCTTTTCATTAGAAAATGTTGCGTGGTCTAAAAAAAACTATTAGAAGTTTTTCCTACCTTTGTAAATCAAAGTGTTTCGAAGCTTCAGAAGCACAGACAGATAATATATTTTAAAAATATTACAAAGACTAGCAATCTTTCTTAAAAAATGACCAAAAATCTATACATATAATAAAATTGTAACTAAGCCGAATCTGTACATTACATATTTTTTGGAAAATCTTATTGAAATAGACATTATTATCGATACAGAGGCCGAATCTATAGATTTTACAATTTTTGTCTTAATTTATTTTATATATATAGGATACCGGGTATTTATAGGATACTTTTTACCGCGAGAAAATATTTCATATTTGAGAAAAATTTGGTTTTTGGTCATCTGAACGCGGGCAGCGCCGCGGGCAATGCTAGTATTTTACAAATATTACAAAGACTAGCAATCTTAAAGATCAAAAATATAATATACCTAAAAGATTAGCTAAGAACAAAAGCTATAATTATAACAAATTAAGAACCAAATAAATGTTATATACGATAGTAACATACGAAATGGTTTACAGTAAACAGTTTATGACTTCACAGAAGGTAATTAGTTTACGAATTACGTCTACAGCTTTGCTGCAACACGTGTCCCGAATACTTTCTAATCAACATCTGGCACTATAAAGCGTTCATTAGCTAAGCTAATATGAGCAAAATCCTAATAATATTACAACTTTTGCTCGAACTTACACTCGCGTAGTTTATTTATGACTAGCGCTTCACCCTCGCTTCGTTCGAGTTATTAGGTTGCTTCCCCATACAAACTTTCATCCCCATTTTCACCCCCTTAAGGGATGATTTCCGAAATAAGAACTATCCTATGTCCTTCGGAGGGTCTCAAACTACCTTCTTACCAAATTTCATCTAAATTGGTTCAGTAGTTTTGGAGCTTATTCGATATAAACAAACAAACGTAAAATCATTCTTCTTCAAAATATTCATACAGATTTATTGCCCCGCTCCAAAATTTCATACCGTGATGATCTACGTTATGTATCATTTAAACTTTCTCAATAAACATGATATTAAATTCAAAAAAGATTGTCCGAATAAGACTGGTGGTTCCCGAGATACAGCGATCAAACAAACAAAAAAGCTTGAAAATTTTGCCTTAATCTCCTATCCACAATATTCTTCCGATTCCTAATAATTGTGGGATTTACAAAAACAATTTAGAAAGCGAATATTCCAATATTTGACATATTTTTATTGTATTTTTCAGTAACTTTATAGGCTATAGCTTTGTAGAGTATAAACAATTACTTCCTTTACTAAAAAGGTACATTAAGTACGGTTAGGATTAACTTATATTTTTTTAATTTAGGATCTCCGCAAGTATGAGGTTAATATTAATTAAAAATAATTACGAGCATGGCCTCAACCATTTTCGTTTATTCTGGTTCATAATGATGCGAAATATATAAAAAATACGTACACCAGAAATCAAATTGTACTCCTTTTTATCTGTCGTTAGCGAAAAATTCGACCAGTTTCCGAATAATTGAAAAGGTCAATAAGTAAAATCATACATGCCTTTCTAAGCCATTACACATGCAAACTTAGGGCGCGTACACATAGAACGTCCGTTTTACAGGTCCGTTTAAACGTATATGTTATTAGCGTATGGAGTTGTATGAGCCAGTTCACACACACGACAGTATTCCGGATCTAGTAAAAAATCCCATACACAACAGAAATACTGACCCGTTTTATCGGATCGAAACCGCGCGAGGCTTGGCACAGGGGTGCGGGGGTTTTCCTCCAGTTTGTGTCTTTCTTTTTTAAATCCTTTTCTAATCTTTTAAGAAGGTCATCAAAAGTAGATGTCGTCATTCGGAAATAAGTAAAAATGCTGTGTGAATATTACCTCCAGTAGCGACGGATCAGTTAAAAAGGATCCTGTAAAATCGGACGTTCTATGTGTACGCGCCCTTACAAAACAACTTACTACACAATTTATATATTTTCTGACTTACAATTCTCTAATAAATTGAATAAAGGCTGTAAAGGAAACTCGAAGCAACAATTAATTTGACAAGTTGATACTTCAAAATCCGATATTTCCTCAAGCTTACATTGATAAATGTTTTGAAAGCTTAATCTAATACCGTTTAATAAAACGCTATTTATTGCTCAAGTTGTAGTCGAGTTAGTAAACGTTTTGTCATGTTATAGATAAATACTTTTACTGAACAATATTTTGTTGTAAATTTCTGTCAATCTAAAACCTAGATATAATAGTTGTTACACCCACATATATCTATAATAATTTTAGCTACTTTTGTATAATAACATTGTATTATGAAATAAGTAGCTTTCATTCGTTTTCTAATTTAACATACGAGTAATATACATAAAATTTTGTCAAATTATCAATTCTATAGACAGACAAGAGTTTGAAGAGTTTATACATAACGATATTCGTATCGTCCGATTCGGAGTCGTAAAGTCCGATTTGTGAACAAAAGTGTTACAAAAACGGTACCGAATAAATAGATAATATTACAGGGAATTAAATAATTACTCATAAATAATAATCTTTTTTAGACTTTTAACGCCTACAATGAGATTTTAAACACATGTTTTGCAAATCAAAAGCCTTTACTTCCCCTTAAAATTGTATCAACACCGCCCCTCTTAATTGAGCTCTTCTGTAACACCACGTAATATTGTTCCATCCATTTAATGTAAACGCTTCAGATAATTAATCTTTCTAATTGCTCGTTAAGCTCTTGAGATTCATTTAATGCCTTAACTTATCTAACATTCGATAAATGCTATCTATACAGATAAATAAAATTATAGTGTCTGTAATGTCAAAATAACAGCGTTTTACTAAATGCATATTAAATTATATACGGCACTTATAAGAAAAACAGTTTTTTTTTTAATTTTTGTCTTTTTTTGAAAAAGAATTAGGGTTCCGTTCAAAAAAATTAAAACGTACCTAGGGAAAAACCCGAGCGAAACGTGGGTGAGTCGCTAGTGATAATATAAAATCATTACCTTAGCGACTGAGATTCGACGTTTTTCGGTGATAAAAAATATATGAAAATTGCATTTTTCAGAAGACACCGACAAGCAAAACCGATATAAATTACACGAAATAAATTTATATATACAATAATTGCTCGTTTAATATAATAAGATATATATGTATAAGTGCATTTTTTATTATATATATTATATATATGTTTATTGCACTGTTTACTTCACCCGGGAACACAGGATCAATTTACACCCAATGAAAGTACCGCCACCTACTCCACAGTGTTTGAATAGTTTTGCGAGAAGTGAGTGAGAAGACTATATGTTTTATTCTCCCATTTTCTTTGTTGTTTTGATTAGTAATAACTACTTTAGATATTAATTGTATAAACAATACATAAAATGCTATAATTATATGATATACATTAAACATACATATAAA